TATAAACCAAAAGTTTCATTATTTACATCTTCTTTCTTAGCCATCACAATATCTCACACATACACACTCCGAAGTTTTTAATCTGCTGCAAGTACTTGGGGAACCCACTCCACCATCTAAAACTGCTCTGCAAACCTCAAGTCAACACTCAGTGGATATTCTACTGGGTCAACACCAACATTTTTAACAACATGATATGGAACAGAAAACAGAATGCACCACCCCTAGGAACGCTAAATACCATTTGGGGAATCTTTTAGTTTTGTGTGTGTACCACAAGTTGCCATGTAAATGTATTTTTACTGTGGCTCATGGTCAAAACACTTGAAAAACACTGACCTGTAATACAAATTCTATGCTACCAGAAGCTTCTCTTTTAAGCACTTTCATCCTATACCAGGAAGGAATGAAATAAATCCACAGTAGAGCTGTTCAATTGTCTGCAGTTGTTACAATTGATAATATGCCTTTGGTGGTCTTATCTTCAGGAATTGTCCACATGTTCTATTACATGTATTTGTCATATTTGACTGTCATTATTCACTATTAAAATCAGACATTTTTCAGCTTTCATTGAGATTTTAAGACTAAAGAAACAAAACATAAATATTTCACTAACTTTTCCCTAGTAGCTAAAAAGGAGGCAAAAGTCAAAATTTACTGACCCTCATAAAATACATCTTGGCAACACCTTATGAAGAATTTCTTAAGTCTGAATGTTCAGGATATGCTAAAGACTAATGTAAATGCAAAATTATCCATTTCAATAGATACTAAGACTCTAAACATATTCAAAGAACATAGACTTCCTAATCCCCTTACAAAAAGAGATTTCAATCTCCACTATAAAGTTGTCACTGGTTTAGTGCTATAGCCTGAAAGTTCCTGTTTCCGCCCCCTCCCCCAACAGATTCCTATTGAAATCCTACCTCCCAAGGTAATAGTATTAGGAGGTGGAATCTTTGGGAGGTGATTAGGCTTGGATTAGTGCCCTTATAAAAGAGACCCCAGAGAATTAGCTTAACCCTTCTGCATGTGAGGTTACAGTGAAAAAAGATGACTATGAACCAGGAAGCAGGCTCTCACCAGGCTCAGAATCTCACCACGTGAGCACTCTTATCTCAGCCTCCCAGCCCCCAAAACTGAAAAATAAATTTGTTTATAAGCCACCCATTTTGTTATAGCATCCCAAGCTAAGACACTGCCTAATCATAATTTAAACACTTTATATTAAACATATTACACATTATAGCAAACAATCCCCTTGAAAATTTCCCTTAAATTGCTTTTTTGTTGTTTTAACTGTTTTTTAACTTAGGAAGGTTAGAAAGTGTAAATTCAAATTGTAGGCAAGTCGGTCTAAAATGGGACAGATAGGAATAGAAAGAAGAAATGTACAGAAATGGTATTTTCTCTTATAAGAAATGTTTATCTCCATAAAACTGTAATGAAATATGTGTGGTTAATAAATTATTATAACAATTACTGAATTTCAAAAGCACTACTCTATAGTTAGTGTACAGTATCTTGAGAAACTCTGATGAAACATTTAAACCTACAGGTGTCTCTGACTCTGGGCTTTGACAATTACTTTTTAAAAAAACAAATCCTCCAATGAAATTTAGATCAGGCTCATGAAGATTACAATCCCTGGCCTAGACGCTGAATCCATGCTAGATAAAACAACCCTATTGGTTCAGGCGAATTTTGTGAATTTGGGGGCTAAAAGTAAACATACACATATTTTTCTTGTAAATAACATATAACAAATTACTTATCTTCATTCCAACAACATAAAAGGATGTTTTGTGAACTGTAATTTTCCTTGATGGGAGAAAAGCGATAACCCAATTTAAATAAAATCACCTGTAAAGCTTGACTACTCTTGGAAAGAGATGCCATGGTTACATAATTTGAAATGCACATGTTAGAAGAAAAATGTCAATTCCTTCTAACCCAATTTTACTATTATTTAAAAGTAATTCCTCATTAGAAATACAAATAATGGAAATAGATTAGAAAAATACTGTAAACAATCAAAATGTTTAAATTTTGCAGTCTCCAAAAAAAGGAATCTACTTACCTATTAAAACTTTTGCACTTTTTTAAAAGGTTTATAAGAGTACTTCAAAATACCATTTTTTAAAATCTCATTAATTCAGGCACTGCTAATATGGATTTTGCTGTTTCCTGAATGCTAAACCAAGATTACCACTGAAGTGCGGCACAGTTGGATAAACTAAAGGTGTAAAGAAGGTCTCCTAAGACCAAGAAATTATTTTACAAGCTATTTTCAAATACTTACAACACCACTTTTAAAGGAAGTTGTCCTAAGAATGTGCTAATTATAAAGTATATATTATTAGCACATTTAAAATATTATTTAAGATAAGGGATTCCCTGTATGAATATACATTTATTTGAAATACATTTAAACATAATTTTGGCTTTCTGCTAAAGACAATGGACTTTACTCTTTAATTCCCTCTACTCAACACACAAACTTCACTTCCATTAGGGAGTTAGAAGAGGAAGGGAAAAAGAAAATGTTTGGTTTTATTATACTTTGACCCTATCATAGATACAGCTAAATTAACTGAACCAGAAGAAAACATTCATATATAACCCTACATATAAGTACTACTTATTTAAATGCTCCAACTGATTGAGATAAAAGACCAAATAAAAATTCATTCATGCAGAACACAGTATTATAGTTTGCTTTATTAAGCTAAAATTAATTTCTTTCTCATCAAGTAAATATTCAAAGAAATACTGCTCATCTTTTTAGGTTAACGGTTTAAAAGAACACTGTCTATTGAAATTTAATTTTTAAATGATTAATCATCACTCTAGGTACCTATCCTAGAACAATGCACAAAAAACACAGACAAGGATGTTCACTGTAATGCTGTCAGTAATAGCAAACCACCAGGAAAAAAAGGAGGGGGGGAGAGGTTGAGTCGATTATGATACCTTTTTACTGTTTAGCACTATGCAATAGTTTAAAAGACTGACTAGATCTATTTTTACTGCCAAAGAAAGATCTCCAAGATATAAGGCAAAAAAAGCACGTTGCCAAAACGATATTTACAATATGACACCATATATGTAGATCACACACATACACAGTCCTAAAGCATTTCTATGTGTGCATATGTGATTATAAGAATTCAAAGAAAAAGTTCTGGAGGAATATTTCGTAAACAGGTTAACACTGTTACCTCTCTAAGGGTGTGTACGTGAAACTGGAATGGGAGGAATCACAAGGAGTTTTGCTTCATTATTTTTTTACAAGGAGAATGTCACTGAGACACCAAAAAACAAGAGTAAAGGGGAAAAAATGTTTGCTAATTTCTCTCAAATAATTCACACACCAGAACTGGTAAGTGTAACCAGACTTCATTTTTATTGATTTTAAGTCAAAACCAAATGACATTAACATTTAGCAAAAAGTGACAAAACTGGAAAGAAAAAAAAAACTTATGACGTCTTATCTTCAAAGTTGAAAAAAAAAAGAATAAAGAGTAATGAAAAGACAAAGAAACAAACAAACAAAAATCCTTAGGAAATCTATCCACTTTAAGATACTGGCTCAGGCGTGACCCAGAATCCTCACAAATCCACTTTATCCAAAACTGTTCCCTCAAGTACCGAAGGTTGTTTTTAGAAAGCTTAACTAAGAAACAGTAAATGCCAAGTGCGTTTCACAGGGGTAGGAATGGGAACGTGAAACCCTACACCTCCTTAAAGCGGTCAAAACGACTGAACAGCAGAGTCCAACTGGGAAAGCGCGCGGGGGTGGGGAGAGCTCAGCTATCACTCCGAGGCTCTGGCTCGGAGCCGCAGAACAGTTTACACCGAGTCTGTTGGGAGCATGAAGTCCCCGAGGGTGGTCAACGCGTCGCCGCCGCCACCTAAACCCTTGGGCGACTTAAGAGGAAGGGCAGTCAACACAAACTTAGGTCCTTCGCCTGAGCGGGGAGAGCGTCGAAGAGCGAAAGCGCCAACTTTTGCTCCAAACGCGGCAGCTCCGGGAGGATCGACAAGTCTCTGCCTGAGTCCCACTCCAAAAGCGACCTCAAAACCTTTCCTGGCCAGTACCGACCTCCCCCGGTCCGGCCCCCCGAGGAAACCCCATCAAGGGCGGCGGCTGGCAGGCAGCAGGCAAACAGGGTTTTGGCCGTGGGAGGACACGGGGGCGGGGTCCGTCGGCCGAGGTCCACCCAGCACCCCAGAGTCTCCTGGACGCCCCTCTCCGGGCGCTGTCCCACCATCAACAGCCCCCTTGGCGCGGCCCCCTCCCCACCTCTGGGCGGCGACCTCAGCGCCTCCGCCCCGGGGCCCCCGCTCGCCCAGGTAGCGGCTCCGCAGCCAGG